AGGAATGGGGGTAGCTGGGCAGCAGAGCTGACGAGGGCTTTCCTCCTGCCGGGGTCCCCCACCCAGACACCCCGACTCCCCACGGCCACCCCGGCCCTCCGGGCGCGGGGCAGCGCCCTCGCGGGCGGGTCGGCCTTCCTCAGGGAAGACGCTGCCAAGTGCGAATTTGATAACCAGACGCGCCGGCCGGGCGCACGGCCGCCTTTGATCGCGTCTGGCCGCCCGCACGTCTGTTTCCCATTTCGCCTCCGCCAGGCTCCTGCATGGGGTTCAGCTTTCAGGCCGCCGACGGCCGACCGCGGGATGGGAAGGGGGTGCCCGCCGCGCTGCTGCCCACGCCCACTCGCCCCAGCACCCCAAATGCCGGGAGACTCCTGCGGCGGAGGAAGGCCGGTGTGGGGCGCTGCCCGAGGCCGCCGGCCCCCGGAGGTCCAGCAGAGCAGCAGAGGACACGCCGGGGCCCTGACTCGGCGGCTCTCAGGGAAGCTGTTGGGTGACCCCTGGGGGAGGGCTGGCGGGTGGGGCTGCGAGGGGCCCCAGCCCGGCCCTGAGGGCCCTTTGAAGGGGTCGATCCTCTCCCTCTCCCCGCAGCTGGGGCTGGACTGGGGAGCCGGACTGTCAGCCGGGGCGCCCTGCTGTGGGCCCTCCAGCCTGCCTGAAAGGGGCCTTGGTGGGCGGTGGGCAGGGACGGGTGGACGGTGAGTGATGGGCAGAGGGCAGTGGAGTGTGGACAGGTGGGTGACGGGCAGTGGGCAGGTGGCAGGTAGACAGATGGGCAGGTGTGCAGTGGCAGGTGGACAGGCGGATGGTGGGCAGGTGGACAGGTGGGTGACAGGCGGTGGCCAAGTGGCGGTGGGCCCTGGGCGGGCTCCAGGCTGGGCCGGGCCTGGTCTCGCGGCCTCCGCGGCTCTGGGGTGCAGGCGCGCCACCCCGAGCCCGGGGCCCACAGGCCGACGAGGCCACCCGTCCGCCCCCAGTGCTCCGCTGGCCCCGAGTGAACCTGACGAGTTCACACCTGCACATTCACACGCTGCGACGTGACGTCACACGCACCCAGCGGGGCGCCAGCCGCCCGGGGTCAGGGCTGACCACAGACCCCACCTTGAGCTGGGTTTCTGCCCTCTGCTGGGCCCTGTCCTCCTGCCCCTCTGGCCGGGCCTGGTCCCCACGGTGGCCACTGTGTGGGCGTCCCCTGGGGTCGCATTGACCCTTCCTTTCTGGGGGCATCTCTGCAGCCCCAGGGTGCCCTCAGTGGGTGGGGCCCACCCCGGAGGCGGCCAGAGCCCACCCCGGAGGCGGCCGGAGCTCCTTCAGTCCTGCAGGGGTCTCTGCGGGGTCTCTGCGCCCGTCTGAGCCCGGCAGCCACGCGGCGGGAGGTCCCGGTCTAGAGGGGCGCCCAGACCCCTGCTAGGAGCAAGGGGAGCGGCCGGAGCCAGGCTGCTGCCACCAGGTCGTGGCTGCTCGGTAGGGGCCGCCATTGGGGGGGCGTCCTTGCAGCCCCCACTGGGAGCACTGGGGGCCCGGGCTCTGCGGCCCCCTCTGCCCGCTGGCCGGACCGCGGGGCACAAGGATGGGGACACGGGGACACACGAGCAGGAGGAGGAACAGGGGGAGCAGGAGGGGGAGCAGGGGGAGCAGGGGGAGCAGGGGGAGCAGGAGGGGGAGCAGAGGGAGGAGCAGGGCGAGCAGGAGGAGGAACAGGGGGAGCAGGGGGAGAAGGATGAGCAGGAGGGGGAGCAGGAGGAGCACGGGAAGCCTGCTGTTGTGATCTTGGAACCTCCCCAGAGTCCCCAGAGCCCCAGCCCCTCTACATCATGGGCCACATCGGGCAGCCAAGAAAAGGCTGCTGCAAGGTGCTTGCAGAAGCCAGCCAGCCCGGAGCCTTGGCCCAGAGATCCGCTGGAGCAGAAGGTGACAGATTTGGTGAAGTTCATGATCCTCAAGTATCAGTCAAAGGAGCCCATCTCGAAGGCGGAAATGCTGAAGGGTGTCAGCAAAAGCCACCAGAAACGATTCCCCGTCATCTTCCAGAAAGCTTCCAAGTGTTTGGAGGTGATCGCTGGCATTGACGTGAAAGAAGTGGACCCTGTTCTCCACTCCTATGTCCTTGTCAACTCCCTGGGCCTCACCTGTGAGGAGAAGCTTGGTGACAAACAAGGGATGCCTAAACATGGCTTCCTGCTCATCATCCTGGGTGCGATTTCCATAGCGGGCAACTGCATCCCTGAGGAAGACATCTGGGATTTCCTGAATGTGATGGGAGTGTATGCTGGCAGGGAGCACTTCCTCTACGGGGAGCCCAGGCAGCTCCTCACTAGAGATTGGGTGCAGCAGAAGTACCTGGAGTACCGGCAGGTGCCCCGCAGCGATCCTCCACGCTATGAGTTCCTGTGGGGTTCAAGGGCTCATGCTGAAACCAACAAGATGAAAGTTCTGGAGTTTTTGGCTAAGATCAAAGGGACTGACCCCATTTCTTTCTCATGCTGGTATGAGGAGGCTTTAAGAGATGAGGAAGAGCGAGCTAGGGCCAGCATCGAGCCCAGAGCTATTCTTCCCACCACGGTCACTGAGCAGCAAGGGCCTGAAGCGTCTCCTGCCCCAGCTGAAGGCTGAGCCCCGATCTTCACTCTGCATTTGAGGAGCGCTGTGGAGAGGGCGAGGAGCAGGCTTGGGAAAGCACAGTGGTCCAGAAGTTTCCATTCGTCTTCTGAGTTGGTGACCAAAAATCCTCTTGGTATTCTTTGAAATGCTGTTCCTCTTACTAGAAGGTTGATGAGATTTAGATCCTAAGTTTATGACTGATATTGGTCACCCGTTTATTACTGTTCATGCATTTAAGAATAAGAGTTTGATAGCTCACAAGACAAATTTGGGCACCTTTCATTCTACCTTGTAAACTGGAACAACATAACATGACACTGGAAAAGGAATTTCCTTGGAAATGTGAATGGTTTCGTCAGAAAATAGAGAAAACAAGGTAGCAGGTGATTTACTTTTGGATTCTCTTAGTTTGCTGTTCTGTAAAATGAAAAGATATAAGTAGACATAATCTGCTTGCCTCTTTGGAGAGTAGGAGAAATCAAATAAATGTTAAATGAAAAGATCCTGCTCACTGAGTTTTTATTTCACAAAACACGAACAGAATAGTGGTTTTTTGAAAGCTCTGTGTTAGAAATGGGGATACACGAGACACCCCCAAGCAAAGAAGACAGGGCCTGGGCGCAGCTGTCCTGTTGGGAAGGGCAAGGTGGGGCCCTGTCCCTAGAGAGCATGTGAAAACCCACAGTGCAGAGGCGGGGCCCGAGAAGGGGGGTCCTCTAAAAGCTCGAGTCTCGGCTGTTTCGGCTTTGGGGACCCACAATTCTTTCTGGAGCGGCTGGTTATAGTAAGCTGGCGGGGTTGGGGTCAGAGGCTGACTCTCCACTGTGATTTGGAGACGAGAAAAGCCTGGTACAGAAAACCGCTCCGTACCCCCTCAGGATCACGGGTAAGGTGGACAGGTCTCACCTGGGGCAGGTATAGGCCAGGTGTCCTGAGCAGCTGAGCGCAGTACACAGACTAGGTGCTCTGTACACCTCTGCAGGTATTCGCTGAGAATGGGGTTATGGTTCCTTGAGCAGGTACCCAGAAGCCACCAGGCTGGTACTCACTGCCATGGCCTGAGAGAGTCCGAGCCTGCTCCATAAAAGGTAGGTTACCCTGAGTGTGGCTGGACCCCCGTTAGCAAGGTCTAGGTTTTGGTGGCCGTGAAATGAATGAAAACGGTTTTGGATAGAACAGCAGCTGGGATAGAAGGAAGTTGTTTCATCACTTAAATGCTATCACTCTAGAGTGATACCAGCTGGAGAGGGCTAACCCTTACCCAAACTAGTGTATCCTCTAAGAGGAAAGTTTAGTGAATTTTCTTTGTGAATCTACATTTTTTTTTTTTTGCCTGAGTTGATACTCTGTTATCTATAGAGCTGCACATTATCTGAGATGTCCTGGGTGAAAACAGAGCTCCAGGAGAGGGCAGTAGGATCTGGGGACAAGACCATATTGGTAATAACTGCCACTCATTAAAGAGCCAGTAAGTACCTAGTGCCTGGCCAGTTACTTGTCTTACTTTTGTACATTCTAGAAGTCCTGCAAGATCAGGCTTATCAAGCCCATGTTCCAAGTGAGGACTCTGAGGCTCAGAGCCCTTGGTAATGCCCACGATTGCAGTCAGTTTGGGGCTGGTAAGGTAACGCTCAGAACCCTGTTCTGAACACATCCAGAACCAGGTTGCTCCCACTAGCCCCGGCCCGGGCAAGTCTTCTGTCTTACTCTGTCTCCCCTGAGTACTGCGTCACGTCTCCGGGGACAAAAGAAGCTCCACATGAGAAAGGACTGACAGGCTTGAAGAAGGCAGGGCAATGAGAATTCACATAAACTGGGATTTGCCTGAACTCTATCCTCCTGCTCCAAGCCCTGGAAATCTTAATAGCTGACCCTGCTCAGGTGCTGACATTTAAATAGAGTTGTAGCAATTTCGAGAATGTCAGCACAGCATCTCTTGGTGCTCCCCAGTGTGTCTTCCTGTCCAGTTCTGAACCTGAACTGCTGACCAGCTCTTCACCGTGTCCTCCACAGAAGACTGCGCTGCTCCTGGTGAAACAGCCCAGAGTCACGTGCTCTCCCTGTTACCTAGAACATTCCTTTGTCCTGCAAAACCCCCTGGCTGTCCCATCCATCATTCTGGAGCCAGAGTGCAACAACTCGTTCAAGTCAAGAGCTCAGTTTAGACAGTGGTGTTGAGCCTGATGTGTGGTGACCTGAATGGGGACCCTCAAAAGAAATGTCTGGGGCCCACTTTTCATTATCTGTAATTGGCCTTATTTGTTAATAGAGTCTTTGCAGAGGTAGTTACATTAGGAATTTTGAAATGATGTTTAGCTTGCTTTCGGGGTTGGCCCTAGATACAATGAAGGTGCACATCTAAGAGAAAGGAGAGGAAAACCCGAAAGCATAACATTCATGGAAGAAGAAGTGGGTGTAAAGAATGGAGGAAAGGTTGGAATGATGGATCTGCAAGGCAAGAAATGCCAAGGACTGCCAGCTGTCGCTAGAATCAAGCCACAGCTTAATCTCCCTCAAGGTCCGCAGGACAAATTAACCTTGATGACGCCTTTATTGATGTAAGCAATTTGATTATTTTGTACCTCTGCAAAGATGTTTTAAAAGCCTTCCTCAGATATAATTAATGAAATTGTAAGAAATTTGGGCTCTCCCTGATGGCACAACAGGTTAAAGCGCAGCACTGAGGCTATCTGCAGCAAGAGTTTGCACTAGGCCAGGAAGGTGACCCACACTGGCACAACAGACCTCTCCTGACCCGCCTGCTGCTCCCCTCAGCAGTGTACTTCATCAATCTGCCTGTTCTGCCCCCCACTCTGTCTCTGGGGAATCCTCTCACTCCCATACCTCTGGCCTGTACCCCAGTTCTGTATGCATAAATAAATAAATCTTAGAAAATTCTAAGAAACGTATTGTGTAGATCGTGATGGTGTGACATAGTTAAAGGGTTCCCCACCCCCATAGATTTCTTGTTTGGATTGCTTTGTTTTTTAGCTTCTTGGACCCGTGAGATTATAGTTTTAATCAAATTTGATAATTTTTCATTAAATTCTTCATGTATTGTTTTCTACCCCCCACTTTTCCTCTCTGGGATCCCCAGATGTATGTATATGAGGCCACTAAATTTTGGCAAGGTCATGCTCTCTCCACTTTTCTCTCTGGGAGTCAGTGCAGAGGCTCCACAATCATTTTGTCTACTTTTAATGCAAACTGGTGTATGTTTTTCAAGTCATTTTAATTTTTGTCTCTCAAATTAACTTGTGGTCTTTTTTTTTTTTTTTATAAATTCCATGTCTGTGCCATGTTTAACATTTCCTCTTACTTCTTGAAGATACGGGATATACGTACTGCCTGCTTTGATGGCCTTATCTACTAATTCCAACAATTGTGTCATTTTTGGGAACAGTTTTGATCAGCTACCTTTTCAGCTGTATCTTATTTTCTTGCTTCTTTGCATGCCTGGGAATTTTGATTGGGTTCTATGCAATGAGTTTCACCTGAGTGAGTGCTTCATACTTTTGTTTTTCTAGAGATAATTCTCCTTTAGCTTTGTCCTTGGAAATTAATACTTAGATGTTATAGTTAAGCTGCTGGGAATTTATGTGCCTTTGAGTTGTATTCCTTTCCAGGGACTCCCATAGCCAAGTGCCATGAGCTGGGTGGCTGAAAACCAGACAACTTTGTCTCACAGTTGTGTAGGCCAGACATCAAGGTGTCGGCCAGGTAGGTTCGTTGTGAGGACTCGGAGGGCAAATCTGCTCCAGGCCTGCTGGTGATGGCTGGCAATCCTTTGCATTTCTTGCCTCATAACTGCGTCTTTCACTTCTTGCCTGTCATTTACAATGTCTTCTTTCCTTAGAAAGATACCAGCAATATTTGACTACATACAGTAGTCAGTACAGCCTTTTATTGAAGCATTAGTTCCATGTGCAAAGATTCTGTTTCCAAATAAGACCATACTCGCTGACAACAGGGTTAGTATTTGAGCCTATTTGTTGAGGAACATAATTCAACCCAAAACACAGTTCTTATTTTTAAACTTTGTTGGGAAAAAGTAGAGCAGCCAGTGTTTAGTTTATGGCTAATTTTGCCTGTGAGAACCCTAATCAATGCTCCATGAATTGTTAGTTTTTTTACTCTGATGGGAATAGCCACTATCCCCAGCCTCATGTGAGTTCTGGAGTTTTCTGTCTGGGCAGCATTCTCTTCTCTGGTATTCTGTCCTACAAATTCTGGCCTGCCTAGACACTCAGCCGCCTCTGATCAACTCAAGGCTCCTGGCCAGCTCCCCGAGCGTGCACTGTGTGCGCAGGCCCTCTTCAGGCAGAAAGCTGCAGCAGCTATGTGGCTGGTCTCATTGCTTTCATCTCAGAGATCATTAGCCTTGGTTGCCTGGTGTCCAATACACTGAAAGTCATTGTTTCATCTCTTTCATCATTTTTAAAAATGTTCAGATAGGAATCTGAATATTGTCTCTTTATTTCAATCTTAGGCAGAAGCAAAAGTCCTCCAAAACAAATTTACAGTTTAAAATATCTGGCATGGCAGATATCCTAACCGCCCAAACCCACTTAAATGAAAACCGAAGTTGAAAGACAGGCTGAGGAATATATATTTCATGTAGGCTTATTTCAAAAATTATTGGGAGATGCACAGCAAAACTCAGTGATGTTTTCCTTCTGGAGAATTAGAAGTGGTACCTTTATTTTCTGATGGATGGTTTCAGTATTTTCCAACCCTTTTGAAACACATAAAATTCCTTGATAATTATAAACGAGAAATATCTTTTTTAAAGATTTATTTCTTTATGCATACAGAACTGGGTACAGGCCAGAGGTGCAGGGATGGTGAGAGGATTCACCAGAGACAGAGTGGGGAGTAGAACAGGCAGACTGACAAAATTCACCAGAGACAGAGTGGGGAGTAGAACAGGCAGACTGACAAAATACACTGCTGAGGGGAGCAGCAGGTGCGTCAGGAGCGGTCTGCCAGCCATGTGGGTCACCTCCGGGGAG